AGACGCTAAGTCAACAGTGTTATGCAAGATATGTTTATTGTAAAAGATGTATAGGATGAATGGCACAAACGCATTGCAAAACATGTGCGCTTACAGCTTGTAGTGTGTATTGTATTAATTTTTAAAGAGTCAGCTTAAAGGGAAAGTCCATACTAACATTAAAATTTGCTGTTCGTTAATTAATGCTGAGGATGTGGATTAAAGGTAATGATGTTGTGGATAATGTTTCCTGCATAGACAGTTCATTTAGCTTCATCAGAGGGATTCATTTGTTTTGCCTGAATGTTTTATTGAATCTTAATTGGAAATATGTGATGACTTTGGATTTTATGTATTACCAATTACCATAATTTCAGCTAAAAACCATCTTTAATGTTCTGCTGAAGTCACATACATCTTGGATTGCGTGATGAGGATTAAATTAACAGCAAATTTATGGGTGATTTTGACAATGGTTACACTGCATATGCACATGTCAACTAATGTCAGATATCTGAGAGCGTCTGTTTTGGGAAACCTGTTTAAAAACAATAATTATTTGATCAAATTAATTTATTCTTGCAAATATTACATACTTAATAGATAGTTCACCAAAAAAAGAAAATTCCCTCATGATTTATTCTCTCTAATGTGGTTTAAAAACTTTGAGTTTCTTTCTTCTGTTGAACACATTTTGAAGAATACATTTTGAAGATTCCCATTTGCTGTGACTCGTTGATTTCCATAGAAGGAAAAGAAATGACTGTGGACATTAATGCGTCCAATCAACCAGTTTTTTCTAAAAATATTTTCTTTTGTGTTGAACGGAAGAAAGAAACTCAAACAGGTTTTGAACATGTGAAGGGTGAGTAAACGATGACAAAATTTTCATTTTTGGGTGAACTATCCCTTTGAGCAGTCGTGCAAATGAGACTGCCCCGTAGTATCCCTCCACAACCCGCATGTTTCATGTTTTTTAACCACAGTCAGACAAAAACTGTGATTTTTGTTTTTTCATTTTTTTCACGCACATCAACAAATGTCAAATATCAGAGGGCATCTGTTTTGGGAAACCTGTTTGAAAACTATAATTATTTTACCAAATACACTTAGTCTTGCAAATATTACACACTTGAGGGGATAGTTCACCCCAAAAGGAAAACTTCCTCATAGTTTACTCTCCCTCATGTAGTTTTAAAACTTTATGAGTTTCTTTCTTCTGTTAGACACACAAAAAATTACAGTTTGAAGAATCCTGTTTGCTAGTACCTGTTGACTTCCATAGTAGGAAAAAAATGATTATGGACGTCAATGCGCCCCATCAACCAATTTTTTTCTAAAAATATTTCCTTTTGTGTTGAACAGAAGAAAGTAACTCAAACAGGTTTTAAACATGTTAAGGGTGAGTATCCCCTATTTGGGTGAACTATCCCTTTAAGCATTCATGTAAATAAGACTGCCCCAAAGTATACATCAAAGCACGCTTGTCTCCACTCCCGTCTCCCCTAACAGCCCACACTCATATTACATTCGGGCCTGGGCGCGCTTACATCATCGATGATGCGCTGTTCAGCAGAGAAGCGCTCTCGCTCAGCACAGTGGAGATTTCTCTAGTTGTATTGTTTTAGTCGTTTGGGATGCGGTGACACAGTCAAATATATCGCTGAACAGATCTGCCACTTTTGACGCTCATAAACAATCATAAAGTCATCATGCTGCAGGAATTAGGAGATTTGCTGAAGGTGCAGCTGTGGTGCAGTGAGGAGTTTGCGTCTGAAATAATCTACGACAGTTTGCGTTCATTGAACAGTAGGAATGATTCATATATCCATATAAAACGGTCCCTTAAAAGTCACGTCTTTGCTTTCGGGTTTAGGCGCGTTTGCACTCACACACAAGTGTACTGCACCAAAGCCCAAGTGAACCATGCTCAGAGCACTAACACTTATCAAATGATCTGGAAAACTGGCCAGGGCACGGTTCGGATAGCATAGTGTGAGTAGGCCCTTACTCTCCCTTATGTGGTTTTAAACTTTAATGAGTTTCTTCTCCTGTTGAACACAAAATATTCTCTTTATGACTCTCTGATTACCTTTTGTGTTGAACAGAATAAAGAAACTTAAACAGGTTTTGAACATGAAGGGTGAGTAAACTATGACAGAATTTTCATTTTTGGGTGAACTATCCCTTAAAGCATTCGTGCAAATGAGACTGCCTCATAGTATACCTGCACAACCCAAATGCTTTATGTTTTTTTAACTATGGTCAGACAAATATGTGTGTCGCTTCACAAAAAAAAAAAAAATCAATCAATCAAAAACGTTTAATAAACACATTCGCATTAATGCAGAGTAACATTTTTGTCTTTATTTTATTTCATCTACTTTTTTTCCCATATCATCATTTTTAAACAGCAATATCCACAAAATATTAACAGTGTGCAAGAAAACGTGATTTATGGCACATCCGAGAAGAACAATTACAAAAAATAGATATATTTCTTCATAATCAAGGCAGAAAGATACATATGCATACACAGGAAAAAACACAAAGTAATGGGACAGGCTGAGATTGAAATCTACTGGCTAAGGACTCAGCTACAGATATTACCCACACAAAGCCTACATCTCACCTCTCATGGGCATGAAAGAGCTTGATGGTGTGTGAAGTCGGACGACACTTTGGGAAACGAGGAATTGAGGTTAAGGTATCATGGCCTCCTCAGCACCTTGTGTGTTCTGGCATGGTAGCGGACAAGCTCCCTCATCTTAGCGCTAGCAAATAACTGGTCTCACAGCTAAACGACTGCAGGGTTTTATTAAACCTAAGTGTAGGGTAAGTTAGCATACTTCAGGTTAGCGCTATACTTTGCAGCACAGCGCATTATGACACCAAGAGTCAAAGGGGTGGAGAAATCAATTCTAACAAGCTAGCTAACAAGCTAGCTTAGCTTAACTGGCTTTCACAGTGTTTGCTCCAGTTTAATACCAACAAATGTGGTATGCAAATTTGGTTGGTGGCTGGTAAAAATCACACTTATTAAACTGCTAGCGTTAGCCTAGCGCATTTGAGCACTTTGCACTTCTCCAGAAAGGCTTTTCCCTTGCAGTAACATTGTTAGCAATGGAAAGAGATTCTAATGTAAAACTTGAAATGATTCAATTATAATCCTTCATTATATAATGCAGTGCTTCTTCTACAGAAGTATCCCTCTCTAGAGTTATTCTCAATGCAGAAAGCCATTATTCTGCTCATATTTTACAGGAAGTGATGTCACTGTCCACTGTTAGATGACTCATAGCATCTTGTGACTTCCATACGCCTTAGTCATTGTTAATACGGGAGCCGATGACAGCATCCCGTGGGCCACAGCGAGCACAGACCCCCTCTGTCCCACTACGAGACCCTTTATTCCTGCAATGTGTTGCTTTCCAGCATATGAAGCAGGACAATGGGGGAATTCTGTTTTTAGTGCTTATCTGAATACTGGGGATCAACACACGCGAAACCAACACTGTTAGTGGCTCAAACCAGCGCATGCATCATGTGCACACTGCACATTTAGAGTTGTGGCTTGACCTTGCCACTCATCTTTGCATGTGACTGCTCAAACTGAACCAAACTCAACGGCCTGTTGCATAACACTGAACATCCTGCCCTTTAGTTAGACTTATCAACATGGACCACTTCATGAAATGAGCCTCGACACCTTAAGCACCTAGTTTGGGCACTGTGTCAATAATCCAGGTTATCGTTGCTTACTGAAGCAGTCTGGCAATTCCTTGAGCATTTAGCCTCACCTTAAGAAGGACAAACTGAAATGGTTAAATATGAATGGAAAATTACACAAAGATTACAAAAAAAGATAAAACATCCACAAAAAATATATATATGAATGCGTTTTAGTTATCAAACACTGTACAGTATCATACTCAATGACCAGATTTCCATGTTTCCATAGAAAGAAGAAATTGAAACAAACAAATCCAAACAGCTATTCTCAAAGTTAACACCTCTGAACATATCCAAAAGAAAGTTTATACATTTTTTTTTCCTTCTGTATGGATTTTACAATCAAGTTTGGTTTCAGAGAAGAAGAAAGAAAAGCAAAACAAGTTGGCCTTTGAGGGCTTTGACTTTAAAATGACTCAATCCTGTGGGGCATGTCCAAGCCTTTGCTTTTAAGATCGTAAATATTTTTTATCTATTATTGTGTGATATATTTGATTTTAAATGTTGTCCATTAGCTTTCAAAATATCTGTGTCAATGCTTTTTTTAATATTTCATATCTGATATAACAAGGCTCTTTTTCTATACAGAACTGCACTTTAGGAGAGGGTTGGGAAGGATGTTATTAGGCAAATATAAAAAATTATTCCTTTATAAATTAGTGTTCAAGGATTCTGAAATATAGTAAAAACACTATAGAAAAAAACAACGCTTTAAGCCTAATGAGCTTTTAATCAATGAAAAGAAAAACTACAGCTCACAAACAGACTGAGAAGAAAAGAAAACGTAAAAATATTGGCAACTCTGGTTAATGTCTTGAATCCCTTTGTAAAACATGAAATGTGCTGTTTTTTTTATTATTTTTTTTGTTGTTGTTTTTTTTTTTTTTTTTTTGATAAAGGTAAGCATACCTGGATTCAGTTTTGGCCATACAAATCTAAAATGAACCCTTAGCTTGCAGATTCAACGTAACAATGCAGAGTTAATACTGATCAACTGTTTACCACAGTGTGACTGGGCTAGCCAGCTAGTCAGTCAGCAGAAACATGACTGTCTTCCTCTACTCTCCTCCATCACCTATGGTAACAAGGTCAGCCGCTGCACTGAAAAACATGCTGGAGCGTCTCTCAGTCTCTGTGTAAGCTTTTGAAATAGTTTACAAATTCGAAATCTGCCACCTCATGTTAAGTGCATCTATACGCATGAATGCGTGGATTCATTCATATAGATTCACTCAACGCCAGGCTACATGAACGCTAGGTATACAGATATTGCCCCTATTTTGTTTTTAACCAAGAGAGTGTGGCGCTTATTTTCTGGAGAATACTGTGGATCCCAGGTAAAAAGAAGTGTTGGATTAAATCGCCCATTGGGGATGGGCATCGGTTAAAGTGGGACTGAGATAGCTGGGCTAGACAGAGTAGCTATAGAATGATGCAAGGCTTCTTGTCTTTAAACGGGTTCTCTGAGGTGGGAACCCCGACCAGCAGAGGGTCACTGCGGGCGTGCTGCTCACAGTAACTCATGAGGTCTGCAGCAGCCTTCGACACCTGCGAGAGGGACAAAGACAGGGAGGAAGAGGCGATGATGCAGAGTGATGAAGATACTTCTTTCTGTGTTTTTTTTGTCACTTTGACTTTGGGTGTTTTTACACTTGTAGTTTTGGGTCTCTTGGTTCTTTTGGTCTGAACCAATGATACACATAAGGTGTTTTCCAATTGCATGGTAAGGCATGGTTTGGCAAGGCTCACTTTTTCCATTGTATTTCATAGTACTGGTAATTTTTTTAGTACCACCACGAACAGGCTTCTGCTGGTATCAGATGTTTGTGTTGTGAATTATTGCTGAAGTTTTTATCACTGTTTACAGTATTATTGCAATTTTGACCTAAGATGCAATAAAAAGAGTACTTTAGCAAATATAATAATAAGCAAAAATACTTAGTGTATTTGCTTTATTGTATTTACAAATGTTCAAACCAATCAACTTGCAAATGGATGATGAAGTGGTAAACTTTACAATAACATCACATTAGTAAATATTAATTAATGCATTAAAATCAGCAGCGAGAAAAAGCCTTATGAGTTATAGAAGTTCATTTAAAATAATACAACTAAATTTGAATAGTTATCTCTATTTAATAAAAGGTATACAACTTGTGATTGTATGGTTATTTCGCATTAACTAAGAAATTAACATCACTAAAGGTTAATAAATGCTTTTGCAATTGGCATTATATTAGTTAAATTAATTGATGTCAACAAATAGATCCTTGTAGTACATAGTTAATGAACAAAAGGCCTGATTAACATCTGATTAACACTAGAGTCCTAGAGTAAATCTAAACAGAGCCAAGTTAAACCAAACTAAAGCAAGCCGAGCTGTGCTAAACCTTACCATACCATGCAGTGAAAAAGCTGCTTCAAGCCGTGGTCACACTAGAGTTTGAGCAATGTGTTATTCTGCTAGCCTGTACTGTGAATTGTGGCATAAAAGAAGATGGTACCACACTTATAAAACGAGTGATTGCTATTTGAAATTTCACCAATCTTGAATTGGAAAGCAGCGACATGTTAAACTTGTTTCCAGTTTGGCAAATCCGCATGTGTATGAATGAAAGTCAATGGTGCAAAAAGTGCAGTGTAACCACGGCTGAAGTCTTGATTCACTTAATATTCATTTTCAAGACCGAGCATAAATATACCAAACAAAACAAAAACTCTTTTATAAAGCATATTTTGCAACAAAACTCTTAATAAACTCTTTTACTTTTTATACTGATTTCTATTAGCTGAGAAATTATAAAGAGTTTATAAAAAAAGTAAAGGAGACAAAACAGCATTTCGCCATTACACCCAGAATATAGGATTTGCTGCATGCTGTGTCCATGTTTCTGTTCTTTAGACTCATCCAGTTTGATTGCACATCAAACAAACCAAACATGTCAAGTGTGAAGATACAATTAGGAACAAGCAGAACAAGAACTGAAAAGGAAGGGGAGGAAGAAGGATGTACACAGAAAAATGTTGGCCATTTTTACAGAAAACACTGTAAAATGCTACAATAAAATCCAGTTTATTTGTATGTCATTTAATGTCATTTTGCCATGTCAAAACTCTCAAATGTATTCTCAAAAGTCCATGTGTGACATTTCAGATACAAGTGTATTTTATAAAAACATTGTTTTCCTTTTCTTTTTGGTATTAGTAATGTATTAATGTTTACTGTGCTATTTAGTGTTGTTTTTGCCATCTGTTATCTTGATTATATTTTGTTTTGCACTGTCTATTCAGGAGTAATATTTTGCATTTTGATTCATTGTGAACTTCAATTGTGCAATACTGCAAAACAATGCTTTTTGTTTTAGCATAAGAATATTTCACTTACCCTATTGCCAGATAATTTTTTAAGGAAAAAATCTCATTTAATGTTGGCATATTATTTCTTAAATCAAGACAATATATTTTGCCTTTGTCACAGTACGTTTTTAAAGGAATTTCCGGAAAAACAATGCCATTTTTATACATAATGTAAATATATAATACTACAGTGAATGTCATATTTTGCAGTGTAGTATTCAAACTTCATCATATGTGCATCATATGGTAACCATTATGTTACACCAGCATAATAAAAAAAACATTGTGATTGGTTGATTTTGAACATGTTACACTGAAGAGTGAATCTTTGTACCTTAATACGCTCGATGCCTGCCTCGATCCTCAGCTGCTCCACCAACTTCCTGGCCTGGGCTATGTTATTAGTCGTGGACATTCTCTGCCATCGGTTATTGAGCCAAGTAAAAGAAGAAAATTCTACAAAACAAAAACAAAAGTGAAACAACATTAAAACGGAGGTAGAATTTAAAGCATGTACAGTATGACATATAGCAAATGTATGTGACAATGAGATAAAACACTTTCTGATACGTTTTAAAATTCCCAGCATACTTTTAATTTTTAAGCTTTGTTAATGTCTTGTTAAAAGAACAGCCGGGAGTAAAAGTGTTTTAGTTAAAGAGATACATCACGCACACAAGACCTTTGGTTTGCATTCATGGGTTAATGAAGAACCTTTAACACCTATAGGACTTTTCCATTGGACAAAAAGACCTTTATATTGGCAAATTATTCGATAATGGTCCGTTAAAAAAAATGGTTCTATTATGCAATTTTAAAGAAAAGAAAAAACTGTGTAAATTTAAACATTTATTAAAGCATCTTTTGTTCAGCAAATAAGTCATAAATAGGCCTGTCACAATGGTCAATATATCGACTTATTGCACAACACATGGACATCACCGCAAACATTTTTGGTGATGCAATAAATATCGCCCATTAAGGGTGTCAAAATTAATTGTTTCTTCGGTACACTGCGATGCAGAAGCGTGTGTTTGCTGGACAGTCTTTCACTGACACTCACAGCAGAAGCCCCTCTTTCACTGCGATTGAAAGAATGAAAGTAAACTCCATTTCTCTCTCTCTCACTGAGGCCCATTTGACCTGCTGGCGTGACTTTTCCTCTCCTCCCAGCTGTTACAGTGATACTTCTGAATACAGACACAAGCGCGTGTCTGCAGAGCGAGTTTTCTCCACCGTTTCTATCATGGATCAGCTGTGATCGCCTCTGCCGTTAGACAAGCGAGCAGGATATATATATTTGTTTATTTGCTATAAAAGCTTGTTTTGTTAAAAGGTACAGTTTATATATCTAACTGTTTGTATTAAAGAACAAAACTGTATTATAAATAGTATATAAATACAAATATATTTATACATTTTAATACAAGAATTATTGTGCTGTGAAGAAAACATAAAACTGTGTATGGAAAGCATTATCAATGCACCGTAGTGCACCGAGATATCGAATTGACCTGAATCGATGGCATGATAATTGTAACCGAACCGAATCATGAGACCAGTGTAGGTTCACACCTTTATCGCCCATACATAAAAAACAATTCTAGCGACATTTTAGCCAAGGGCATAGATTTGCTTTGGCTATTGGTGGGGAAATTTTTAAAAATGTCAGACAAAAACGTAGTTAAATAAAGACGTCCGTTTACTCAGGGCTTATTTGTGCATAATCACTTACATTGCCATTAATGCACTTTAAGCTCAAAGATGACTTAACATGTCCATGTTCTTTTCATTCTGTAAGCGTGCAAACAGCACAACATATATTGTATTCTGCACTTAAAAAAAAAACTTAAATAACATAAAATAAATAATAAAAACAACATTAAATCAAGCATATGGTGCAATAGTAAATTGACATGATTTTACTTTGACAAGGAATGAATGCAGACTTCTGGAAATGAGGAGGAATATGACACAATAAACATTTCATCTCAATCATCATGGAGGCCAAAATCAAAACTCATTTTTTTATTAATTGCACATGCATGGTAGCTATTATCATGGATTTCTAGCGAACTTGACTCCAAGTGACTGACACTTTTCTTTGAAATGTAGCTGCTTACATGTGTCACCTGAGTCTTGCACAGTAAGACCTGACTGGAAAATTTCAACAAAGCATTATTTTATCTTGGAGGCAATTAAATTATTAGTGGGGACATTTTAATAATCTGTGGATATTGGTGGGGACACGTCTTCTCCATCCATGCTGATTCTACACTCCTGATTTTAGCCTCCATCTCTAATGGAGGTGTTAGTGTCAGTATGGTTAAAATACACTACAGTATTTACCATTGATTGCTTTAGTATATTTCTATGTGGGTGTCTGACAACTGAAAATAGATCTGGTAGCAGAGATTATATAATGGCATTATATAACGAGTGGCATAAAATGGTCTTAAAATGACAATAATATTGTTTATTGCTAAATATTTTGGTGCAAAATACCATACAACAAACAGGCGTCAAGGTTTTATTTATACAGTATGTTTGGAATATGATTCTTTCAACAGCAAAGGTGAGTAAAGATGAGTAAACCCTTTTAGTTTTAGGGGTGGAACTGTTCCTTTACGATTAAATCCCGGCAAATACTTTAAAACATGCAAGCCTCCAAACTAGTTCAGCCATAAATTATTTATACATCAAGATATCTGTCTGACAACTCCGACCACACAGCCACCCTAAAACATCAGTGCAGACCACCCAGTTGAAGAGGACCATCAATCAGACAAACAGTACAACTAAAAACAGGTGCGTCTGTCCTCTGAGGCCAAGAGCTTATTTTCTCCTTCCATATATTAGGACCAAGTGTTCTGAAAACAAAACAAACCCTTAAAATACCCCTAAATTGAAACAACTTAGAACATTTCCATCGCAAGCTTGACTTTTCAGTGGGCTCCAAAACAACACTGACAACTTTAATTCACTGCCTTTATTTCAAAACCTCAACTTCAGTGTTTCACCAAAGCAAAAGTCATACATGAACCACACAGAGCCGAGTAAATGCTTTTAAAGCATAAACCGTTTGGACTGCACCGATTGCATGTGATTTGCTCAACACAGACCTTTCATACAGCTTCATCCACCAAAAGGTCATTTCAAGAACCACTTAGCAACACCAAGTAGATTTTAATATCAGCACACCCACAGAGACTAGACTATCAAAGTGACCGCAGAAACAGAGGAAACACTGGAGCCTCTGAAAGGTTTGCTTCTTTCTGGAGACAAACAAGCTCCTTATACGACCTCCTCCCTTTGCTCCATACACACGAGCGCCCTCCCAAAACCAGCGCTGAACCCCTGGCATTCCAGGACGTTCCTAGAAGGGGCCGTAAGTTCTAAACACATGTTGCTTAGTGCCTGGGCTTTGTCTTTTCACAGAAAACACAGTCTCTTTCACGGCTCCGTGTACTGCATTCCAGGAAACAGGCACAGCGGCCCTGCATACATAATTGCGGCGCTCTAGAATACATTGCCATATTCATTCAAACATGCAGGTCTTATAAAAGACAGTGTCTCTCTGCACAGCTTTTTTTTCCAACCACATCTTCCATTTTTTCAGAAAGAAAACCCTGGATACACAGAGCCACAGTGTGTATTGAGTGGGATGCTGTGATTTAATCTGCTGGAAAACAGTGAAGGTTTATAGGTGCAAAAAGCAAAAAAAAATGAAAGTTTAGCGTATTTGGCTACGGATCTTTTCTTGCATTTAAAATACTGCTGTTACTGTTATTGCTTTTTTTTTTTTTTTGCAGAAATAATGTTTAAGGTAATTGTGCATTTAGTTGTGAATGTAAAAAGTCTGCAAAGTTTCAAAGATCAATACAGAGTTATTTGTCTCCCAAATGCAAAAACTGATCATACTCCAGCATTAATCACTAGGTAAACATTGTGCAATGTGCACTGTGCATTTAATTACTCTGTTTTGGCAACTTTGATAGCTTATTTGCATAACTTTTTTAATTTGCATAATTTTGCATAATATATATTTTGTATTTATTTATTGTTTGGTTTTATTTATTTATTGATTTCATTTTTTTATATGTTGATTTTATTTTTTTTCATTGATTGATTTTATTTAAAAAATGTATTGATTGATCCTAGTTATTTATTTATTATTTCAAGGATTACATTTTTTATTTATTTTATTGATTGAATAATTAATTGATTGATTACATTTTTTATTTTACTGAGATATTTTATTTTATTTATTTATTTCATGGAATTTATTTCTTTATTGTTTTTTATTGATTGATTGATTTAATATTTTTATTTACTGATTGATCTTATTTATTTATGTTATTTATATATTTGTTGTTTTTATTTATTTATTTCATAAATTATTTATTTATTTTTTCATTTATTTACTGATTGATTGATCTTATTAATTAATTAATTTATTTTTTAAATTTATTTATTTTATTGAGTTATTGATTTCATTTAGGAATGGCGCAGTGGGTATCACATTTGCCTCACAGCAAGAAGGTTGCTGGTTCAAGCCTTGGATGGATCAGTTAGTGTTTCTTGAGAGTGCTTCGGTTTCCCCTACAAGTTTAAAGATATGCGGTACAGGTGAATTGGAAAGGCTCAATTTTCCGTATTGTATGTGTGTGAATAAGTGTGTATGGATGTTTCCCAGTAATGGGTTGCAGCTGGAAGGGCATCCGTTGTGTAAAGCAAATGCTGGGTAAGTTGGCGGTTCATTCCGCTGTGGCAACTACAAATTAATAATTGACTGAGGCAAAAAGAAAATGAATGAATGAATGATTTTCTTTCTTTCTTTCTTTCTTTCTTTCTTTCTTTCTTTCTTTCTTTTTCATGGATTTCTTGGATTTTATTCATTTATTGTTTTTTTATTCATTAATTGATCTTATTTATTTATTTATTTTATTTTATATAATGTATTTATTTATTTATTTTATTTATTTATATATTTATTGCATAGATACTTTTTTTTTTTTTTTTACATTTTTAGACTTTTTGATTTCACTTAATTATTTATTTGTTGATTATATTGATTAAATCATCAGGTCGTCTGCTTTAATGAAGATAAACCTCACTGGGACTCCTCCTCCACCTCCCTGCCTCTCAATAAAAAAAAGTTACAGGGGTTCCCCCATTGAGCTCGAACAGTACAGAAATACATATTACTACAGAAAAATCACATCCCCTACTTACTTACAAACAATTATTCTAAAATGCACAAATAAATAACATTTTTAAAAGATTATAAACTGACTGAAATAAGTCGTCAATTATTCCAGTTTTGCATTCTGCTAGAGGTGTAGATTTTAGCCAATACTGATAACCAATAAATCTTTACATTTGGAATCTGATAAGCAATAAAAAGACTGATGTGAGTCTTAACCGCAGAAAACACATTCACATTTTTTTCTTAC